GGCAGTTGTCAATACTCAAAAATCGAAATTCCTTAAATTATGCCATGATCAAAACTACATCGATAGAACAATGATAATAAAAATAAAAGCAGCCACTATTGTACTGATATCACACGTCGTTAGATAGAGAAAAATGTGTACGAACTAATTGATACTTGTGATATCGTGAGAACTAAACGAGAAAAAAAATCGAAATGTTCGTAAACCAGTTCAAGACGATTAAGTTTCAATTTCATGGCCTAATTTCTGTTGGATGAGCGATAACAGCCCTATTATCATCATGCATTGTGCAATGCAAATCATGACCAGGTAGAATATCTCGAATAGTGAGGTATCTTCATATTTATTTTTTAGTTCAGGGGAACGCCAAGGTGATAAGACATAAATATTTGATCAAACACTTACGATAAATTGATAAAAGAAACTACGCTGCAGTTACGGTATGGAAAAGAGTGAAAGGCATACTTTTGCAGTCAATGAACCAAATATTTATGGAAGCCTAGCGAATGAGCTTTGCGGCGATGATGCAACGTGCTATTTTCGTCGCGAATAAAAGAAAGCGCGACGATGTCGAACAATTGTGCAATTCCTTTGCATGAACTCGTATTACGCCTTATTCTTTCCTCATTTTACCAATATTCTCAAACGAACAAGTGTAATTATGGCCGTAAAAGCATAGGGCACGCTTCTTTCATTGCTTATGCCATGTTTAATGAGGGCATATAAAATTCGGTCATCTTTTTTGTTGTTGTATTCGAATTCCTCTTCTATCTCTATTGCACGATCCACGCTTTGACACTTGAAACGATTACGTGAGTAACGTCTTTTTTGAGCTCAGAGCGATTCCATCGAAATTTGGGTACAAGCACAAAAACGCAATCAAAAATATTCACATTCAATCAATCCCTTGTAAATCAATCGATCAATTGATCGGAATCACCTGATTATCAACGACTGAAACACAATTCATTGGTTTTTTTTCTTTGTTTTGAAACGATAAGCCAGCATTCTTCTCGAATGAGTTGAGGCTATTGCGTCTCAAAATTTGCACGGGCCAATAGCCCAGCGTGTGAACAAAATCACCGTATGATGATCTCAATCCATACTGAATGCAATCGATTCATTTTTTTCGTGACCAAATTTTTTTTTCGTTTATTGGTGTACTTGATTGTGGCGGCGGTACTTTCGATTTCCGTCCAAAGAAATTCCAAGGAAGAATCAATCGCATTATCACGACTTACAGACACTTGAACTTAAAATTGTTGCTCTTTACACTTTTGTCGCGACTAATGATGAAACTGCGTTACACGCTACACACTTATTCTCCTCATTCTCCTTTTCGTACTTTTACTTTCCGGCTAATCTGCGATAAGCGAGACTACCACGGATAGATAGTTAGCTGGGGAAATCGTAAATTATCGATAATAAATTTTACAACACGAGCTTTTTTTCGATTGGATTTACCATTCATGAGCTATTACTACTATGAGCAATTGAGAAAAAAATTCCCATTCATGATTTGAGTATATAAGCCAAGCCAAATCTATCGAAAAGACATTCACTTGCTCAAGCTCAAGCAAAAAGGTTCTTCAAGCTCAAGCAAAACTCCTGCAAAAGCAATTGAAATTTAAAAAAAAACATATCAATTCAACTTCTTTTGAAAGAGTTTAATTAAATATTTGGACGAAAATGATTGGCATTAAAATCTGTTTGTTATTGTCAACTGTTCTGTTCGCAACAGGTATTATTGTAGAAAAGTTCATGTGTTCTGAATCAAAGAAATAATCAAATTATTCCAATTCTCAACAGGCGCAATTGTTGGATTTTTACCAAAACCACAATTGGACGGAAGAATCGTTGGCGGGTAAATGAAATTTTTTTTTATTTTTTATTTGATCGATTTTAGATTTGATTCTTTGTATTTTGCATCACAACTTAGAAATATGAAAATTTCAAAAAATCTTCATTTCAATATTTTATTCCCTCTTTACAGATTCCCAATTGAAATCTCACAGGTGCCATGGCAGGTATCACTTCAAACCCGTGGATCACATTTCTGCGGTGGTTCAATCATTTCTGAGAAATGGGTGTTGACTGCAGCACATTGTACAGACGCTGTCCCAGATTCTGAAAACATCCTCGTCCGTCTTGGGACCAGTGAGTATGCAAAAGGTGGTGCAGTCCATAAAGTGAAACGCATCGTTCAACACAAGAAATACGATGGAAGAACTATTGACTATGATTACTCATTGCTTGAGCTCGAAGATGGCATTGAATTCAACGATCAAGTTAAGCCAGTTGCATTGGCTGATGCCCAAGAAAAAATGAGCGACAACACAACCTGTTTGGTGACCGGTTGGGGTGACACTAAATCAGCTGAATCACGCCACAAGCTTCGAGGCGCCGAAGTTCCCATTGTCAACCAAGAAAAATGCGAAAAAGCCTACAAACGTCATGGTGGAATCACCGCACGCATGTTGTGCGCCGGTTTCGACCAAGGAGGAAAAGACGCTTGCCAAGGTAATTATTATTGAGTCATAACGTCGTGAATATTTGAAATGCCACCGATTTTAAATAAACGGTTTTAATTTTCTACATACAGGTGATTCAGGTGGTCCACTTGTTGCATTCGACGACAACAACGAGAATGCCGTTCTGGTGGGCGTTGTTTCATGGGGTAAATATTCGTTTTTCTTGAATCGATATTGATTATTATGATCCACATTTATCTAATACAATTTTTTTCGACAATAGGTTATGGTTGCGCTAGACCAGATTTTCCAGGTGTATACAGCCGTGTCCAAGTCGCCCGTGACTGGATCTTCGAAAACGCTGGTCTCTAGATATCCGATTTTGTGTGATGCATTTTGTTGGTTAAAATTTAACCGTTGCACAAATTGCGGAAAATATTGTTAAGAAACCGAAAAAAAAACTAATAAAGCTGACTCATATTAATTTAAATAAATCTCTAAGCATCTTTCATTCATCCTCTGTCGCTTCGTCAAAATTTCGCCGGAAACAAAAATCAAAATAACTCGAAAATCGCGTTTGGTCTTTAAATCACTCTTGATAGCAGGAAACATTCGATAATGTTTCGAATTTATCTGTAGTATTGCATTGACACATGTCTGGATTATATTTTCGGATTATCGTCATCGAAAAAAACCTTCGCATTTCGTCCATAAACGAAAAACAAAAGCAATAAGCTAATTCTTGTTCGAAAAGACAGGAAAAAGTTACTCTCGTTTTATTCCGCCTGACAATTGCAGTTGTAAATAACTTAATTTGGCGAATACGAATTGTTCACATCAAAAATAATTGCCACTTGACTGGCAGTATTGTAAGCCTTTGGAATTTTATTGCTATGAATAAGACCGTACGAGAACGGGGAAGCGTATCATCAATTGAATTAAAATAAGTGAGGAAATTTTTTATGAAAAATAAATTCCACATATTGTGGAGTGGATGTGATCAGAGCCGTTTTTTTCCCTACCGGATGCCAATGGCGATATATACAAAATATAAATTTTCACGCGGTTCAAAGCTTAATTTTACCGTAAAACTGATAGATGAAGTAAGCTGATTGTTGATAATAACAAACGACAGAATCATAAATTTCGTTTACGGCATTTGCCGGGCGTGGATGAGCGAATGCGTGCAATAACATCAGCGAACTGTGTGAGAGAGTTCCCGGTGCAATAAATCTCAAAGAGATAAACCGTTTGTGTCTTAATTACATCATTCGCACCGTACAAAATTTATTATAAAAATGAGTCTTGCCACTGCAAGCAGTATCATTTTCTAACACGAACGAATCCAGTTCGGTTGATGTTTGTTTTAATTCATACGTGTTAAATTTATTTTAACTTTTCTGTACAAAGAAACGCAAAAGAAATGTTTTCAAAAACAATCTTTTTAGCGTTTGTAGCGCTATTGATAGCAACAAGTGTCTCAGGTAAGTTTTCAAACTTTTAGAGCAATTTGTGTGCAATTTTCAAGATATATCCGAGTGTTAATGTACTAATCTGTGAACGAAACATATAGGTAAATCGACTGGTCGTATCGTGGGTGGATTTCCAATTTCGATCAAACAAACACCATACCAAGTATCATTACAGTACATCGAACCGGGCAAAAGTAAGACGCAACACTTCTGTGGCGGTTCAATTATCAGTGAAAAGTTCATTGTGACAGCAGCGCATTGTACCGAGTGAGTTGTGCATTTTTCACTTGGAATTTAGATGACTTTGCTTTAAAATATGCTAATTTTCATGGTTTTCCATTTCACAGAGGACTAACACGTCAAGATTTCATTGTGCTAGTCGGCACATCGTTCTACAATAGTGGCGGAAAGATAATTAAAGTCGAACGAATAATAAGTCATAAGAAATACAACACCAGAAATCAAGATTATGACATTACTTTGCTTGAGTTGTCCGAAAAGCTAGAATTTAGTGACTCAGTGCAACCAATCGCATTGCCAAATGAATATGAAACCGCTAATCCTGGCACAATGTGCATAGTTTCTGGATGGGGAGATAAAAAGCAATTCATGATATTCCGCAAAGCTGAACTAAGGGCGGCCGAAGTTCCCCTGGTAAGCTACGGACAGTGCAATAACAATTACAGAATGTTTGGTGGCATTACGCCACGAATGATTTGCGCTGGATTCGATCAAGGTGGCAAAGACGCTTGCCAAGGTAAATTTTAACAGCAATGAATGAAACGAGTGAATATTTCAATTCCACAATAATTTACAGGAGATTCAGGTGGCCCGTTGGCTTGTTCGTCAAAGGCGCTAAATGGATATCAATCAGCCACATTTGACACCGAAGAGCATGGAGTTTTGGTGGGCGTAGTTTCATGGGGTAAATATTTGTTTGTCTAGGATTTGTCTTATTTATGGCTGTTATGAACCATCCACTCCATTATGGAATATTTTTTTAAATTCTACATTCATTTGATAATAGGCCGCGATTGTGCTGAACCAAACTACCCTGGAGTCTATGCTGACGTACGAATGCTTCGCGGATGGATCCGAGAGCAGACAGGTTTATAAATAACAAAAACACCGCACACCATTTCTTTTTCTACGAAAATTCACTCTTATTAATAGAATTTAATGATTATGATGATAAGAGCGGCTTTATCTTAAGTATGTGATTAATAAGTGTAATTAATAAATGTTTTGATGATAATCAAATAAACACATTTTTGTTTGACATTTTCGAGTTGTCTATATACTCTAGAAAAGTACAGTAAACGCCCAAGTTGTCGTCGTCGTTCATGATAATTAATAGGAAGTTTTTCGGCCACTTCAAAATGTTTCCATTTGACAGCAACTAGGGAAACAAACAATTAAACGAAGCATGCTGTGCTTTTATTACATTTCATATGATTATATAGCTTCCGAAATATGTTCACATTCCTTTTATTATTTAACGTTTTATTTTGGCGGCGCGTCACACAAGCCAAATGCAAATAATAAAATTGTATCTCCACATGAGTCGTTTTTATCTTTCGGATGCAGAGAAGTACGCGTGATTCAAAGACGACAAATGCTTTTTACGTCAATTTATGATATTTGTAAAAAAAATATCTCATTCATTATAATCGCCTCTGATTTGCCTCACTTTTTCGAATCAATATGAGTAACAGAAGACGAAAAAAAACAACGAAAGAAAACAATGAGGAATGCACGAGAAATGAGAAAACTCATTCTAATGATTAAAATGACAAAAATGTCGCTGAAATTTATCTTGAATACATACAATTTTATCACTTTGTGGAACATTCATAGTCACGTTTTGTAACAAACACCAGCTCAAATGTTTATTTTGGTGTACAACAATAATCAGCCGGGTCTGATATGCTTTATCTAAAATGTTAATGTCGTCGATTGAACAAAATCAATCCATCAAGTAATGAAATCATGATTTGCAAATCAAGTGAAATGCAACGGAGCGTATCGATATCGCGATGGAATAACACCGCGTCACATTTGTACCGGGTTTGAGAGTGGTGGAAAAGCACCAACGTTCAGCGACAGTGGTGCTGGTTTGATTTGTGATGGCAAAATTGTCGGAACCATATCGTACAGTTTTGATTGCAGAAAACCGAATGTTCCTGCGGTGTATGCACGGCAATGGATCCATATGACGACAGAAATTTATCGTTGATTTTTTTTTGCTTCATGACTGATTTATATTATGCGTATGAAAACATTGCCCAATAAAAAAGTACCCCAAGTGCCTTTGTCGCACAATTCTATCGCTTTTTATTATAGTTTTCGAAAAGTAAGTCAACCAAATAGATA